CCACGTGGAGGAGCCACTTGGTGCCTGCGCCTCATCCTCTCTCTGCAGGTTCGCCTTGGCAGCAGCATGGCAAAGCAGCTCCTGTGGTATGGAGGCTCCTCTGCTCGTCAGGGAGGACACCCAAGCCTGACAGCAGCGGGCAGAGGCCTGGCACCCGCTGCTTCTGAAGAGGAGGCAGCAGCCAAGGTCACTGGCACAGGACTGTCTGACTTCTCTCAGCCCTGGGGCAGAGTATACATCTGGGCTTGAGGGTACAGCAGCCCCGAAGCAAGTCCCCAGGGCAGAAACCACCTGTCTGGGAGACCCCAGGAAGCAGCCTGACGGGGAAGACGGAAACTGCTTCAGCCACGGCCAACGGGAGGGGCCTGTTTTATTTGGTCCATATGGTGCTTTTCCAAAATTTGAAGCCACATTTTAAAACACTGGAGAGTTCTCATAAAAATTATTGTCTGAATTCTCTTGATGCTAAAATATTCAGCTGTTCCAATCCGTGAGGCTACCTATGAGAGCAAGGTCAAGAGAAGGCAGAGCCTTCGGATGGGATCTCTGGTTCTGCCCTGCACCAGGGACAAGGCCAGGACCATATGTCACTGCCATTGCTTTTATCTTTACAAAGATTTTTTTTTGTCCATATTTATACTGGAAGTAAAGAAAGGAGATTGGGAGTATAGTTCAGGGGTAGGATGCCTAGCACACGTGAGGGTCTGAGTTTAGTCCACAGCACTGGGAAGGGGCGAAGCGGATGACAGCCAGAACAAGAGCGGATTCTGATGTTTGCTGCCGTCTCACCCTTGCAGTTCTTGCCTCGAGGGCGGGGCACTGTGCAGACAGTGAGGGAGAGATGGCAGATCTAGACTAAGACACAGGCATCTTCATGGAGTCCCAGGTTCGATGCCCACAGTGAGCCAAGCTGCTCTGTGTATATGGCCTCACTGGCCTTCCCAGGTGTGGGGTGACGTCCGCTTGGGCCTGGGGCAGGTTGCTCCTGCATTCGGGCGCTCCACCGGAGTGTGATACACTGTCCAGGTCCCTCCCAGATCCACCTCCTGCACTTAGCTGAAAGGAGTTGCTAAAGAGAGGGAGTTCTGACTCCTGTGACCCATGACCCGTCACTGGCACCTTCCATGACAGAATAACACTTGGCAGATGTGACTGGATCAAGGATCTTAGATGAGGGGGGAGGTATTCCTGGGTCACCCAGAGGAAATTTAAATGGAATCAACCTTCCAAGAGAGAGACAAAGGGAGGTGAGACACAGGCACGGGAGAGGAGTAGTGCCATGCAGGCACCTCAGGGACAGTGATCTCTGACCTCTAAAGTGTGACCTAATTCGTGTCTACCCAGCTAGTGGTGCAGAGCTGTCTTACGCTTAAAGGTAAGTCACGAGCCAAGATCATCCAGTTCCGAGTGCAGGGTGGATCTTTGGGCCGACCCCAGGCTTCAGCTGCTGCTCTCACCAGTACTGGGTCCTTTGTCAAGATCCCTAGACAAAGATGGAAGCTGGGAGAGGGCCCAAGGATGGACCCAGAACTCACATTTTCATTGACAGGTAAGTTTTCCCTTCCCTGGGGTCTTGATTTCCATCGCCCCTCCCGACCAACACTTGTTGGAATGTCTTGACACCAATGAGAAGCCTGAACTCTCTTTGGGAGAGTATGGCCGTACAGCCAGGGACAGAGGCCTAGGGTTTACCTTTGGACAGTTTAGTCTCCTCCAATGACCGCACCCCATCTACTCTACCCTTAAGCCCAGCTTGATCCTAGCCTGGACAATTGGCCTTCTCCAGCCTGCATCCGTCAGATTCCTGCCAGATCCCTTGCTTTGGTTTCAGTGCGTCTCTCTTACCTCAACATTCAATCCTGCCACTGCCCCTCAAGTACTCTCCAGACACCTAACCAAAGGATCACCCAATCTAGGACTTTCAGCCTCCAAAAGTGTCAGCAAAACAAAACTCTTTTTTTTAAAAAAAAAAAAAAAAAAATGAAGTTACCCTGACTCAGGTATTGTATTATAATGAACAATGCATAAAACTGACGGATTAAGTGCCCTGGTGTCTGAGTCTAGTATGTGCTGCTGTAACAAAATACACGAGGTAGGAGTTGAGGTTTGTTTGGCTCATGAATGTTCACTAGCACTGTGCTAGTGTCTTCACGCAAACTGCCTTGGTTGAGTCACAGCACAGTAGAAAGGCAGAAAGGCTCTGTGAAAGTGATTAAGCATGTGCGATGAGCTCAGTTTAGAAAAATCTGTTCTTGTAAGAGTAAATTCACTCCTGTGAGCCTGAACCAACTCCAGGAGTTCCCCGATTGAGGGCAGAGCCTCCACAAGCTAGCCACACCTCCTAAATGCTCTGCCTCCTAAGATGGGGGTAATGGACCAAGCTTCCAGAATGCGTAGGTTTGAAGACACCCCGTAGAATCTCCGATCCATAGGCAAGCAAAGCCTTTGTATGGAGGCCCTGGGGTCCTGGTCCATTAAGCTATGCTGGCTTTCTATGCCCAGCCACAGGACACAGGTTTTATAAGTCCCCCAAGTGCCACTCTGTGCCTTGTCAGGGCCCAGGCTGATGGAAAGCTGAACCGACTGAGGTCACTCTGGGCCCTTGGCCCAGCTCCGGCATAAACTGTCTGGACCCCCTCCAGCCAGTGAGTCGATCTTAGCCACGGGCCATTTGGGAACTCTCAGACACATTCGGGGTGATGGAGGGTCTCATCATGCTGACACTGGATAGGGAGGCTTACACCCCAGAGTGTAGTCCTGTGGCCTGAACAGCCCAATATTCCCGCCTACACACACACACACACACACACACACACACACACACACACACACACACA